GCCGCTTTCAGGTGTGAAGGCGGGATCCAAATGGAAGAGGATGGGAGGAGGAGGCAGGTCTGGTAAACCGAGTGTGGGAACCGGCCCTTACCGGCGGCGGGGCCGACGGCTGATCCGCTGGCTGGCGGCTCTGCCCTTCCCCTGCCCTGGCTCTCTAGGTGCGTGCCTTCTGGAAGAAGGCGCGGTGTGTCGATTGCAAGACGAAAGGATGAAAGCCCCAGTCTGCAGTGCTTCACACACACGCATTTTTTCTGCAGTACACTCGTTGTCTGGCCACATTCGTTAAACTTTGCATATACTTCATTCCCCCTGGGCAGGGTGAACATGATCGCAGGAGATGTTGGAGAGGGCAGGTGGCGTAAAGTCAACACCCACTCTGTTGCGCTGTGCTCCCCCTGACTGGTACTGAAATTGTTCCCCTTCTCAACAGTAACTGGTGGAATGGTCGTAATTTCTTAGAAATACAAGGCCTCGCTGTAGTTTACCAGATATTCTGCCAGATAGTTTTTGATTACATTGAGCAGTAGTGTGAACAAATTAGACTTATATCGTGAAGAAAACAAAGAGTATTTTTAAGTGCATTTTGCTTGAACGCATGTATTTCCAGTACCCATCTGCTTCTGTTTTCAAGTTACTTATTCACACTAGTAGAAGTCCATTGTTGAACTTTAATGGAAAACTGAAGAAAGAAGAAAGGGAAACTTTAATTTTACTTTATTGGTCATTAAATTCAAATACAGATTTTTAGGGATTGGGTTTATTTTTTAATTCTTCGTACCTGTTGTTTTAAATCCATTTGCAAGATCAAAATTACTCGACTCACCACTGGAGCCTGATTTTTTTCTTCAGCTGTTTACCAGTGGAAAGTATGCTTTTACACCAGGTCTTACATTTTTTGATCGCTTATGGCTTGAGTGGTTCCCTGACACTAACGCTGCACGTCATGCTTTGCAAGCAGATTCCTGTGACGCTGCAGCCCCTCAGTGTCGTCATTTGGGTTCCCTCGAGTTTCAGCAGTGTTCGGAGGCCCATGTTGCAGCTAGAGCTTGTGTGCTTAGCTGTGTGCTCTACTCTTGGGCACAAAGTCACTTGGTTAATTATACAAGCAGAAAATTCTGGTTTTCTGCTCTTTTTCTGCAGTCAGAATTAGGCCTCGTACCTGTGGTCTAATTTTGTCTGTGTAGCTTTTCACCTGATTATTCACTGCTTAATGATTGCTCTCTGTTTTATATAAAAATATCTGGGATTCCCAGAAGCTTTGATTCTCTCTGCAAGAGAAGAACATAGTTATGTGCGGTAGGATGAGTGACTTAATGGAATATTTTTCTGATACAAATGCTTGAAAAGAAAAAAAATCAGACGTGGCTCAGAACAACAGTAGCTGAGGGTAAAAAACTCTAAAGTCTATCTTCAGTGCCATCGTGTGAGCTAGCATGGCACTTTGTGTCTCCGTTTACGAGCTGGAGCGGGTGGCATAATGTCATTTATTTCAAGAACTCTTGGGAAATACAGTTGAGATTTGTGATGAGTTTTGAAGTCTATGGGTGAGAAATAGTATGTGTTTGCAAAGCAGAATTGTTAAACCTGCTTTGGTGCAGTTCTTCCTTTCCTACGCTTTCTGTAAAGTAGGAAGGGGGGAAAAAAAGACCACGCAGGAATTTGTAACGAGGTGCAAATACTAATGCAAGGTAGTCCTCTTTTTGCACCTGCGTGTTGAGGTGTGAGCTTATTTGATACATAATACGTCACCCATTCCTGTTTATTTCAGAGCATAGCAGGTCATTGTGCTGAGCATAGGGAAGATGGATGACGAATCAGAAATTTTGCGTTGTGGAAAATGAAGGTACTTGCTACAAAAATGAAAATTATGCTAATGCAGATAATGACCGAGATGTAGTGTCCTTACCACCTACGTGAGGTATGTTTAAGGGACCTTGCCAGTTTCTCCCCATCACCCTGAACAACATTTATGCTACTACGATTTCTCCGCCCCTTTGGTGCTATTCTCATGTGACTGCCCCTAGATCAAGACTGACGTTGCTGCTTCTGTAATGCTGCATGTCATCGATCTGCTGTTTGTGAAGAATGCGACACGGGAAAGTCCTAGAAGGTGAATGCCTTTGACGAGCAGGTTACACAGCAGTATTGCTGGTCTTGCTGCACTGTGTCCCCTGCGTATCTGAACCAGTGACCAAGAAGAGTATTTGTTAATTCAGCCGTATTTAGGATTAAAGTCTTGTCAGGACACAAACTATCTAAAAATAACTGGACGTACACCTCTTGAAATAGTGCAGAGCATCCACAAAATATCTTGGTTAAAAAGCAAAACAAACCGTTTTTGACATCAACCTACAATGCGCCTTCTGTGGCTTGTTTTGCACCGTTATACTCTGGGTTTCCCTAAATACCTGTTGCATTGTTTACAGTGCTTTCAGGAAAAGAGCTTTTGGGAAGTTACCTGAATTGCTGCTCGTGCTCAGCATTGGGCTTTTGTATAAACGTTTAAGTGTTTTATTATATGAGTTTAGTCCCCAAAAGCCGTAGCCAAGGAAGGCCTAGCTTGTGCCACAGGTGGGCAGTGCTGGCCCCTTACTGGGGAAGCAGGTGTTAGGGGGGATCATGCTCTTGACATTTGGTGGAGTTGGGGAGGGCGGTGCTTGGGGTGGGCTGTGGAGGAATGCCCAGACTCGGTGACCAAAATCCTCCTTAGGCTGTTGCCCAGATAACTGAGCAGCAAGATCCCTCCTGCCGTGGCCGAGAGCCCCAGCAACCAGGTGTCCCTTTATATTCCATCAGTTGACGTGCTGGCTTCCCGCCCAGCACATCTCCGTGTGGCGATGGACTGTCCTTTGCTAATCAGGAATAGCCTAAGGATTGGTGAAGGAACCTGTTTCTGCTTCTGGTGGAGGCTTGAGGCGGGGGGGAGCATGGGTGCAGCTGGCAGCTGTGTATCAGACATTGCTCCCTGCCACGTGCAGGTGCCGTCATGGCGTTAGCAGCAGGCTTGGCGCAAGTATGGAGTCCTTCCTGAAGCAGTGAAAGGGGTTGTGTGGGACAGGGACTTCACTTGTGCTGAGAAGTCGGTAGAGCCGGTACCTGCGCAGAAGTAGCTGCCACTGCGGGCTCCAGCCTGAGGCATATTTCCAGGGCCCAGCCAGGCAGAGCATATGAAGCATCAGTGTTCAAGAGTAAACTCGTAACGGGGACTCCTGCTCCTATGCTGATCCTGAGTAACAGCTGTGCTTGTACGTATCTTTGTCTTGGCTTTTGTTGTTGTAGTAGCAAATGCTTTATCTTTTTTCGAACAGGGCTCTGCTAGCTTGGTGTGTCTTTGGTCACGTTTCCTCTCCTCCTGTCCTCCTCCCTCTCACAGGTTCAGTCTCTTACTCCTTCCTGTTCTCTTCTTGACCAATGTGCTCGCTATTTCTGCAGCCTCAGTCTCTTTTAGACTTTGGTCTCGATCTTCGTGTTGCTTTGCCTCTCACTGGGGCATTGGGAAAATTGCTTATTTGAAGAGGAGAGCCTTTTCATGGTTAGAAAAGGGAAAACTATCTTCTAGATCTTGCTTGTGTCGTGATCTTACCCATACATAATTGGCCTACTTGCCAACCACAATTTAGATTGTCTAGACATCGTTGAGGAGCAATAAATAGTGTTTATACAAGTTTTTAATACATACTGCCAAAACTGATTTATAAAAGTGGATATAGATTATCCTTATTTTACAGGTGAAAGCAAATTGGTGAGTTACCATTTCATGGAAGGTCAGTGACAGAGACAGGATTTGTTTTCCCAGGTTTTCTGGTGCTTGTTACCACAGTATACCTTTGCCTTTGGAACAAATCTGTGATCATATCTGCACTTTTTAGGTTCTTAAGATTATTGTGTTTATTAAATAAGTAATCCACCCTTCAGAGATAATTTTTTAACCTACTGTTCAATAAGATGTCGCACTGAACTAGATGGGCCTTGTTTCTGCAGCGGTGGTTGCTGGCCTGGATTAGCCCTCTGGCCCTGCTTGTTCTGAGGCTCCACGGGAGCTTATAGCAGGGGGTGCAGGGACACACAGGAATGGCTGGAGGTTGGTGAGAGGAGGGATGGGGAACGGCATGAGACAACATTGCCTCAAGAGAGAAATGCCTGTGAACCTACAGATATTTAGGCTTGGTAGTTATTTCAGCAGCACGTGTAATGATACAGCAGTCAGTGGGGGATTTTTAGCAACTTTGATTTCTTCAACTTTCCGTTGATACTCCTGCAGGGGCAGTAATGTGTTTGGGTATGCTCTGGGTCAGTCAGCATCATTACTCCATAAAGGGATGTTTCAATAATTTGGAAGTAAAAGTAATTCAGAACTAACTTCATCTTTTGTATTTTGGCAGGTTTAAAAAATGGCTGAAGATGGCAGTGATGAAACTATGTTTATTTGTAAGTATTAGAAAGGAAAATTATCAACTTCTCATGATGCGATTTGTCTACCCAGAATGTTTGAAATTAAAGACTAAAACAGGCTAAGTTTTTATTTAGAAAAGTATTTATGTAAAGGAAGCTCAAACAGCTTATAGAGGAGTAGAGAGAAGGTTGCTAATTTTAAGTATACACATTCTCCTGGTTTTCTTGGCAAACACACAAAGAGACCTCTGAATGTGAGTTAGCAGAACAGCTTTTTCATGGCTGAAGTAAGTGAGACTGAAGGCCTAACGCAGTCTAAGTCCTTTGTTTATACAGCGAGCTTTAGCAACCAGAGGTGTCTGTGGGGAACTCTGACCTCTAGCCTGAGTTGAAGATATCTGCACCTCCACAGGAGGAGGATGCAGGTTTCTTATTCTTTCTGGACAAGCCCAGTTTGAGATGCACCGACTGCCCTGACAAGTCTCACTCATGGCGTTCACTGTGTTTTCTTGTGTCCCTGCGGCTAGGCCTGCGCTTCATGCAGCTCGGCTTTGTGATCTGCCTTCTGCTTAACCCTGTGTGCCAGACTGGGCTCCATGACCTGGGATCTGGACTCATGGGGTCATGGCACATGAAGAGAGGCTGTAGCAGTGGTGTGCCCAGGAAGTACGGTGGGCAGAATCCCATGCTTGATGGAGCTTGGCTAGTAGGCTCGTTTCCCAGTGGCATGCTAGCCCTGCAGCCTCTCCTTTGTCACCAGCCTGGACATGCAGGGTCTGGTGTTACAGTGGAAAAAAGTTAAAGAGATGTAGAGTCTGCTTACCTACTTGTATGAGCAGAGAGGGCCCAGATATTGTGGATCCGATCTGGGAAGACCAGAATGGAGCATATGTCTTTGGTGGTATGGATCCACAGTTTTTTACCCTTGATGGCTCCACAGCTGCACATTAGCCTTATGGCAACTATATTGCAAAGAAAGTTGCACTTTTCCCTCCACCACCGATTCACCAGGGTTCCTTCAAAAATAGTGTTGACTCAATAGGCATTTTTATTGAGTTGCAGATACCAGTGGTGAAGTTACCTTGTCTTCCCCTTCATAAAAAGACCCTGGTGGATAGCAACAAGGATTGGGATGTGATACCATTCCCTAATTGCGCAGATAGAAGGTGTCGCACAACACGATTTTCCCCCTTCCAGTGGAGGCTGTGGTCATTGAATTTCTTGAGCTTTCTTGTGCTCTCTGTAAGTTTTTCCCATGGGATGGGGGGACTGCTTACGTTCTGAAAAAGTGAGTTGTTATAAATGAAATTGTGCACTCCCATAGTTAACATCATTGAATATGTATTTCGTAGACATAAAGAGAGTTTTGGAATAATTTTATAGAAGTCTGTGAATATACTCCCCCCAGGGTATTTTACCATTTATCCCCATGCTTAGTTTTGTATTTCTCCTGTGGCCATAATCTCTTGGAAATGTCACATGTGGTGCATGTAATAGCCTTGGGGAATGTCTGCTGTAAGGCATCCCTTAGATTTTGAGAGACATGCTACACAATGTCAGTATCATATTCCCCTTGCTTTGATCGTTCATCTGCAAAGGAGTGAGAGAAATGTGTAGCTTATTCCTGCATGTAGTTTTGGACAGTGCTGTCTGCACCTTGTTGAACCTGTGCAGTGGCTATCTTTGCAGAGGTGAGGGGTGCCTAGGTGCAGTCGAAAGATAAGGGGGATGACTAAGTGCTTCATTTCCTTTGGCAGCAAAGCCAGTTTAAGAAGCTGTCGCTCCGGCTATTCCTTCCTGTCCCCGTTGGTTATGACAACACTTAGTGGATGATAATGCAGTTCTTTTCAGCAGTCTGGTTTACACGTTCCTCTGTGGTTCCTCCACCCTCTTTGGTTTTGGAAATTTGTATTTAGCCCAGATTACTTCAGTAATATTAAGTGCAGTGTGAGCTACGGGCACACCTAAGGGGGGTGGTGGTATGGTAAACAGTGCAGGATGGGGGGAGGCCATTTGGCTGTAGGCTTAGTTTTGATGCTGGTGCTATGTGGATAGCACTCGCCCACTGATCCTTTCCTCTGATACAGCTGTGTGGTGCTGTGCAGCAAACTGGACTGGGAAATTCATTCAGCTGAAAAATAAACTGATGGGAAAAGCTGGCTGTTTCATTCCTTGGTTCACCAGAAGGCAGCACAAACAGCTGTACAGGAAGCAGCGGTCAGGCTTGGGGGTTGCACGAGCTGGTACTGCCGATTGTCAAATGTATGTGGATTTTCACTGCTAAGCTGTTTTTCTTGCCAGAAGGAAAAACAACGTGGAGCTATGTTATTGTAGGTTGGGATCCCTTTTCCATGTCTTAGAAGAAATCCTTTTGTTAGTTCACTGGGACAAATACTGGGAGGGAGAGTTTTCTAATTAGGAGTACAGAGTCGCTTTACTGGGGGGACATACCCTGGAATGAAATGGCTTTTGTCTTGTTCTCTTCCCAAACAAGGTGTAACCACCTTCTACTTTGCATCCTTACTGGGGTTACCTGACTTGCCCTCGTGAGCATGGAGCTTAAATGGAAATCACATTATAGGAATATAACCCCTGTGCGATGATCTCTTCTTAAGCTGCGTCAGCAGCTGACCAGGCAGGGCAGTTTGGCAGCTATTTTTCATGGTGAAGCAATATATATGCATTTGAAATCCTGTTAAGTTGGCTTATTTTAGAAAGCCTCAAATTATCCTGATCTGAAAATTGTTTCTTAGGAACCATTCAGTTCTGGGTAATTTACAGCCACTTAAACTAAAAGTTAATTTAGGTAAGCTGACAGTGAATTAAGAAGTGGCCAAAGTGTATTGCGCAGCCAGCTGACTTGTTTGGAAAGGCACCAGAAGGTATCTTGGAGGTATCTCTCCGTGCGCCATGGGTGAGGATCATGAGCGGGCCAGGTGCGGCTGTGGGCAGAGCTGGGCTCCCACGGCACACTTGTGCCCTGCTTGAGGCCCCGTGCCAGTTCTGCTACTGGTACTGGGCTTATGCCTCCTGTCGCTAAAAAGAGCAGCTACCCAAGCTGTTTCTAAAAGCCTGGGTTCTGGTGAAGGTAGTAATGTGGTTTTCTTTAGCTGCTAGATGTTATGGCACTTTATCTGAAGAATAATGTCATCTTTAAGCAGAATATTTACTGTGGATGTAAGGCAATTATTTTCCTTTGAGAGAGAATTTAGACAATTGTCTTCTGATCGTACTGATCACAGTGTGTGTTATCTCACCTACACAGCTGCCAGCTGTCAACTTGATCAATTATACATGTTCTTTTAAGCAATATAAATAAAAATCTGCCTCTATATGTATGTATTTTGCCTGGTGCTAGATTTTGTATTTGGCTCTTGAAAAAAGGAGGCAGCTGTCTTACAAAAGTGTTTTCCATCAACCTTTCTGTCTGCTGTCTGCTTCCTTGCAGGGTGCGAGGACTGTGGGCAGTACCATGATTCAGAGTGTCCTGAGCTGGGCCCAGTGGTGACAGTCAAAGACTCCTTTGTATTGAGCAGGGCAAGGTAAGGAACGTTTGTGTTAGTTCTGACTAACCCAACATCCATGTTAGTTCTTTAAAGCATATTTGCTGTTTAATGGGTGTCACGCTGACAGCTGAAAAGTGAAGTCCCAATCTATGGAAAGCACATAGCCTTGATTAAATAGAAAAATTGATGCACACGCTTAAGTGCTCTACTGAATTAAAGCCAAAAAAATAACTTGGCTTCTTTGCTGAGGTTTCTGGCAAAAAGTCAGATAGTGCCAGATAGGGTGATGACTTCTGTCTTGGTCGAGTACCTGCAACTTTTTCTCCTTGTCAGATGTACTGTATTAGTTTCAGAAAAGTGTGTGAGGATTTCTCATTCATGTGAACGGTTGTGTCCTCCTGCTTGGTATAACCTTTGTAGTTCCTCCACTGAGAAGCAAAACAAGTTGTTACTACTACTGAGTCTTTATGAATGATTAAGGGTAATGCTTCTGTCAGAAAATCTGTGACAGCATAGCAGAAACATTTGTGCTTGCCAAAAGAAACAAATAGACTAAATCTAATTAGGAGAAAACAACACTGAGTAGTGTTTTTTACAGAGAAAGGCAATCAGGCATTGTCAGCAAAATTCATATTAGGGTGTAAAATGTAAGGCTAAGGAAAAGAAACAACTATCGTGAAGGTGCAGTACAAATCCAAAAACGGAAGAAAGTTCAAATGGCTTCATGTATTATATAATGTGCTTAGGGCTTCCATATTTCTTCTTGGGAAGTCGCGGACAGAAAACCTGGGCACGTGGGCAGCGAGTTTGACACATGCTGGCTATGTAGGCCATAGCATGTATTCCCAGGATCCTTTTGTAACAAATACTGAATGTGCTGGGTCTGCCGCGTGGGTGCCATGACCCCTCTCTGCCTGGGCAGGATGCTTTTGGTGTCCCACAGTGTACGCTGGCTGCATGTGTGCACGAGCCACAGCCGTTTTTCTGGGCCTTCCCAGGAAAGGAAGCTCCCTGCAGCTCCTGCCAGGCACTGCCTTCCTATGTCTGGAAACCGGCCGTGGATGAACTCCTGCAGCAAATGTTAGTGGGGATTACTGTCTTAACAGTCCTGACACTAGAGGTGCTTCGTTCTTGCGGGTAATTTCAAAATGCCCGTAGGAGTAATAGAAACTGGTGATGGAGGTGCTTTTCTTATACACGGAAACTGGGCAGTGCAGTAAGTCTCTAGCCCATACTAAGCAGATTCAATGACAAGTTAAACTATTATTTCTTACCTGTTAGCTTCTTTTTTCTTTTTTTGCCTTTCAATTTAATGCTCTTATTTATTTGTACGGTGGAGAACTACCATAGTGCCCAGATGTTCCAACTGTGAACGTTTGCAAATATGGTGCATGCACTGGTTTTCAGCCTTTTCTGACGTGCAGATGCGTAAGTGTTCCCTAGTGGAAGTGTTGGCTGCTGGATAGTGGATTTGAAAGCTGAGTTTAAAAATGGCCATGTTACAGAAAAATGTATTTATTTTTCTGAAGAGTTTACAGCTAAAAACAGGTAAGATAAGAAAGAGAAAGAAGAAAAATAATTGCAGCCTTTATTTTACATCTGGGGAACAGTAGCTGAGAGTGAGTTGTCTGAGGTTGAGGACAAGTTTAACCACAAACTGGATACGAATCTCTTAAGAACCAGTCTAGTTGCTTAACCACGATTGTTGTTTCCTCTGTCCTACTGAAAAGATAAAATGGATGCTTTATGGTTAGAAAACAAGTGTTAAGAAACATTTCCTGAACTTCAATGTCTCTAACATTGCATATTCTGTTATTAAAACTGAAAGCATTTTTTCAATTCGTTTGCTTATCACTAAGATTGCAATCTTTTTGTATTTCTCTTCATCCAGACAGGAAAACGGAACTGCCAGTGTCAACTTCTATAGAGTAGTCAGTAGCCCGTCTGATTATTTTTAGCTTTTCATCTGTTAGCACAGACCTGAAAAAATAGGGTTGCGTTTGGTGTCTGTAAAACCAATATGTTGGTTCCAGTAATTTTGGAAGATGTTCTCTGTGTATTATATATAGTAACAATATTTACTACATACAGTTCTTCTCAGAAGCTTGTTTGGTAAATGAGAGAGGCAGGGAGCACAGAGGCACTTGCGATTAATGTTTGTAATAAGGGGGCTAGAAGACAGAAGGGAAGCTTGCAGGGCTTTCATCTTAAGGGCTGTGATCTGCGTAACTATGTAAGGTTTTAAAATTTGGGGAGGGATATAGCTTATTTTTTAAAATAAGCATGATCAAAACCGAAGTTCTGTAGAGTCATAGGATAATTCATTTTGGAAGAGGTCTCAGGATATTCCAGTCAGAACTAATATCCAGGCTGAACTGCTCATTTTTCATTTTATGCGTGTTGTCTCTTCTGCTCTTGCCATGCGCCCCTGCGAAGAGCCCGACTCCTTTTGTCTCAGTGACATCCCTGTAGGTGTGCACGGGTGGCTGTTTGGGCCCTCACAGCCATCTCTTCCCCAGGCTGATCAAGCCCCTGCTTCCCCAACCTTTCCTCACAGGGTGACTGCTCTAGACCCTGACCATCCTGGTGGTCGTCCCCTGAGCTTGCTCCAGTTTGTCGATGTCTTTCCTGTATTGGGGGCCCAAAACAGGGAGCAATAGGTAAATGGGATCGAGCAAGCGTAGAGCAGAGGGGGACAATTGCTTGCCTCAATCTTTTGGCTGCTCCTGTTCATACCATTCAGGATGCATTTGGCCCTCTTTGCTGCTGGGACATGCTATGGCCTCACATCCAGCTTGCTGCCTACCACCACCCCTAGGGTCTTTCCCCCAGCTGGTACCATCACCAGGGCTTCTTCCTTCCCAGGTGCAGGACTTTGCATTTGTCCTTGGAATTTCGTATGGTTCCTGTTGGTGTATCTCTCCAGGCTGTCCAGGTCCCTCTGGATGGCAATCCTGCCCTCAGATGTATTGACTGTGCCCCTCAATTAGTGTGCTCTGCAAACTGGATGAGAGTGCACTCCATTGCCCCTTCTAGATTGTTGATAAAGGTGTTAAACAGAGCAGGTACCAGCACAGACTTCTGCTGTACCCCAGTTGTTACTGGCCTCCAGGTAGAGTAAGAACTACTCTAGTAGTTGTGTATCCATTCAGACCATAACATCCCAACTTGGATACAAGAATATCATCAGAGATAGAGTTGAAAGCCTTGCTAAGTCAAGGAAAATGACATCCACTGCTCTTCCATCATCCACAAACCTGATCATTTTATCCTGGAAGGCAGTTCATAAGGCATGAGTTGCCCTTAATCAATCCATGGTGATTGTTTCCAGCCTCCTTCACCTCATGTGCCCGTAAATGCCTCCCAGAAGGTCTTGTTCCATGATTTTCCCAGGGACTGAAGTGAGGCCGACCAACCTGTAGTTCCTTGTATCATCCTTTTGGCCTTTTTTGAAGATGGGTGCAACCTTTGTCTTTCTCCAGTCATCAGACACCTCCCCTGATGCCCATGATCTTTCCAAGAGGATAGAGAGTCGTCTCACTATGGTATTGGACTGCTCTGTCAGCACCCTCAGGTGCAGCCTGTCAGATCCCTGGACTTACATGGGTTCAGCTCTCTCAAGTAATCACTGACTCAGCCTTCCTCCACTGCTGGTAGTTGTTCTCCTCTGTTTATTTACAAATCCTCATAGAAATCGGAAAAAAAAGTTTTCTGTTACTGGAGATTGGAGAAATAGATGCTGACTTCTTTCTTCCATGGATTCCTGCAGTTTTGTCCCATGTGTAATTGTTTTTTTCTCAATTCTCTCTTCAATTCTTAGATCATCTCTGCCTTCTAATTTGGAGATAAGACAACTGGAGGATGGGACTGAAGGAGTATTTGCTCTGACTCAGCTAGTGAAACGTACCCAGTTTGGCCCATTTGAATCCAAGAGAGTTGCCAAGCTGGAAAAAGAATCAGTTTTTCCCCTGAAGGTAAGACACGGCACATGAAAAGCAGTAACAGAGTCAGTTTTACCCAGGATGATTTTATGCTGTCTACCACTATGGAAAAAAAAGTGTGTAGGGGGATTATTTGGCACATCTTTTAGGCATGCCCTATAATGGACTACCTAAACAAGCATTCTCTGGGCAGGATACAGAAGAACCAAACTGAAGGCTCTTTCTGCATGTTTGACGTGAACGTCCTTATAGGAGGTAGGGCTAGGATACAGTCAGCAAAACTGCTTGTCTTTCACCTTCTGCATGTGAAGATACAAGAGGGACAATGACTATGGCAGTTCATTTCAGTTGTTTTAATGAGTCTCTTCAATTTGATTGTATTTGCTTAATGAGTGACATATGCATTAGGTTTATGAAACGTGCAGAATAAATATTTTTTTCTGTCTTGCATTTGTTTTATTCTTCTCTTGACAAGTTTTGGTAGAAAAAATGCTACGGTAAAAATTGAATTCAGCCTTACGTTTTCGGTAATACCTAACTCAGAAGTAAAGATTCAGAAATGTGACTCAGGCTGATGGGTGTTTCACAGTGTGCTGTTTGGATTCCCCTCCATTATCCTGTATTCAGTCATTCAAATTTTGAGAGGAACTGGTGGCTATAGCAAGAATTCTTAGGATAGAAGTTCGGTTTGTTCCCATCCTGCCCCTGATAGTGTGTCTCAGACTTACTCATCTGAAGATGTGACTGATACATGAAACATGCTTGATGCAAGTGTTGAGGCTTGCTTTGTCTCTGATGTACATTGAATGGAAGCCATTACAAAAGCAGAAAATAAAAATTCTTCTTAACTTTGTATTATTTTAGGGGTTTATTATATGCATATTTTGCTTGGCAGGTGTTCCAGAAGGATGGGCCCCTGGTGTATTTTGACACCTCAAATGAAGATGATTGCAACTGGATGATGATGGTGCGACCAGCCACCGAATATGAGCATCAAAACTTAACTGCCTTCCAGCATGACAATGATATTTACTTCACCACCTCCCGGGACATCCCACCAGGAACTGAGCTGCGAGTGTGGTATGCAGCTTTTTACGCCAAAAAAATGGAAAAGCCAGTGCTGAAGCAGGTCACTAGTATTGCCAATGGTATGTGTGGGGGCCTTTTTTCCTTCCTAAGGGCCCAGTCCTGATAGGGACTGATAGTCCCCTACTGTTGTAGTTGACAGTGCTGTTTATCAAATAGGCTCTGACCCTGAATTTGTTAGCCTTTAGAGTCAGGCTAACCTGCATACGTGGTTGCCCTACAAGAAGAAAGCATAGATTCTTCACCATGATAATATCTGTGTTTTTGAAAACGGATGGCCTAGTTGATAGTTCAGCCTCTTCAGAGTGAACAAACCGGATAAATAGTTCTTAACTGAAGAACTGGTGGCTGCATCAAAAACATTTCTGGGTAGAAGAGCAAAGGAATCTAAGTGTCAGTGTAAATCTAAACGTATATGCAGATTTGCTGAGGAAGCCATTCTTTTTCAGTTGTAGTGAAAATGTTTTGGTTTTGCTCAGGACTGTTACACAGTTCTAAAAAACTACTTTTATTTTATGCAGCCTTACATGGGACCCACTAGAATAAGATAAGCTCAAGAGTGAACTGCCATTCCACACGATTGCTTGTGCATTGGCAAAGAAAGGCAGCAGATTAGAATTGCCAGAAGGCTTTTGTTCCTCTGCCTCTTCATTTTCTTCTACTTTTGCATTTCTACAGCTAAAAGGCATGATCCTTTAGCATTGCAAGGGCATTTTCTTTCTGATCTTGAGTTGGGAGTACTCCCGGAATGGTATTACTGCTACACTGAGTATAATTTGGGGTGACAAATGGCTTGGGGAGAGGCCATTGCCATCAGCATGCTTTATGGCTGATCTTGATTGTAAGCACAGTCTTAAGTGCTACAGCTGAATCAATGCGGTTAACAGGTTTCTGAATTCTAAGATGTTTCCATTTGGTATTAACTGAGAGGTTTCATCTTTTTCCTCTTTAGTTTAACCTGTTCATGTATTTTTATGTGCATATGGGCATTTTAAAATATCGTTTAGGTACGTCCTGCTTTCTCTGTTCAGCCCTTTCACTATACTCTCCAGAATATGAAAGGCACATTGTATGAGATTCAGGCATAAGAATGTCCTGGTTAGGATTTTACATGAGAATGTTTTTTGCAGGCCTGCTATAGGGCAAAACTTTCTGACTATGGTTACTGCCCTCAGCACAGAGCAAGAGAATCAAAGGGTCTGGAAAGTAAAGGAACTGTTTTTCCTCTTCACAGATATGTGCCTGGTAGTGATGGAATCTGATAAAGAGGGGAATAAAATCTCTTCAAAACCTTCGTCTACTATCTTCCCCCATAAAAAAACGAAGAAATCCAGCATACCAGCAGCTGATTCAGCAGGTATGCAAAATTATGGTATTTTTAAGGGAGATAGAGGACAGATATAGATCTAAAGAGCTGTTAGGTGTACCACTTATATGCAGATATTATGGTTATGTAACTTTCAGCAAATATTAATTTAGAGAGGATTTGAAAGTCTGGATTTTTCTTTTTATTTTCATGGGCATGGTGCTTAAAATACATATGCAGATTAAAAAGTGACAGAGGGGCCGATAAACCTTTAGGCAGATGATTTTCATGAAAACCACAACTGCTTCTGACTTTGGAGGTGGTTAATGTTGGGGTGGGGGCAATTCCAAAGAAAATCTTCAGACTCACTGTGCAAAGTGTAGTATGTGTTCAGTTCAGATGATCAGGTTCAAGAAGAAAACATGAGACTGTGAGTGAATGTAAGAACAGTGCTGTTTGGAAACGACAAGAACCCTGGCCATCCTCAAACTACAATGATACCAGAAGCCTATTAGAGTTCAGACTGAACTTGATTACAGGAACTTAAATTTAGATAAACTTATAAGCAATACAGATACTCTTGGCAAAGAACATATGGCTCAGGAAATAACTAGTGGTGTCATAGGAACTCAGTCCCCAAGGTCGATTATGAAGCCATGTGTCCCCGTCCCCGTGTGTCCGTGTGTGTCCGTGTGTGTGTGTGTGTGTGTGTGTGTCCCCGTAATCTCTGATAAGCAGAACAATGACATTAAGAACCCACTTAACACAAATTGCCGTGTCTAAAAGTAAACTCAGAGTACGTAGTGTGGAGATCAGGATCAAAAGACAACCATTCTGGGTCTGTTCTTTGAAAAGGTTACTTTGCTAAATTTTGCCTACTAAAAGTAGCCAGGAGTAGGAGAGTTGTTGTAGATGTGTACAGAGCAATTCATCAGAAGATCCATTCATTTAACTTGGATACTGTCACAGCTAAAATGTGAAGGTGATTGGGGAGTTGTCTTTCAGTTTGGCGTCATTTATTTTTCTGGGGGGCAAAAAAAACATGAAGAATTTGAACAGCCCCTCCATCCTTCATCCTACTGTCTGAAAGTCCAACTTCAATAGAAACAAAATGCTGCCTATTATACTTCGGGAACCCTAAAGTAGCGTTTTGGTGTTTCGAAAACAAAACATGCCTCTTTTGATGCTGACTGTTTGCCTCAAGTCGTACAAAGCTATTGCCAACTGGCAGATCTGTGCTTCCAAGTAAACTGGGTTGCCCTGTAGTCACCCTGGAAGCCTGAAGAAGTGGGAACCTAAACAGGACCTGACTCTTCCTGGCAGACCAGTGCACAACTATAGGGTTTCTAGGTTTACTGCTGGAGGCAGGTAAGGAGCAAGGGAAGTGCAGAGTCGGGGACAATTTTCCAAGACAGACTTCAGTTTTGCAGATAGTGCTTTTTCAGTTTTACTAGCCTGCAACTTCATGAGACAGATACAGTAGCTTACATGTTGCTTACCAATCTGACTTTTTTTTTTAAAGTTATGCAAAATCTTGGGGTTTAGGTTTGCTGGTTTTGGCCTCCCAGACGGAGCTCTCAAGATAAGTTCTTTATGTAGCCTGTGAAGAAGGAATCTCTGTTGCTGAATTGTCTAGTCATTTTTTATTTATTTATTACGGCATGGATGGGATCACACCTCTGTAGTACAGAACGTTGAACGTAATTTGTAGCAGGGAACAACCTCTGCCTCAGAGAATCTTTTATTTTGGTTTAAAAGCCAACAGTGAAAAGGAGAAAGTAAGTATAACATCCCATTACAGATGGGGTCCTCAGGCAGGGAGAGATTAACTGACTTGCTAATGATCATACAGGAAATCTGTGGCAGAAACTGAGGTACAGTTTGAATCTCCTGTGCTGCCATTCACTTAACCTAATTTCAGTGTCATCCTCCTTCTCTGGGGCAGTCTTGTAGACTGTGGAATATTCAGCTTTGTGTGGACCAAAAAAAATCTCTGAACCAGTCCAGATTTATCAGATCCTTTTGTCAAATTCAGTCATATCATCCAAGGACTTAAAGACAATGGACTGTGAACAGAGTAACCATTTTCCTCTCCTTTTTTTTTCATTCGAGTTCCATTTTCCCCCTAATTTCTTCTTTATTTTCTTTATCTGGCGTGAGTATATTCAGCTTTGTGTGGACCAAAAAAAATCTCTGAACCAGTCCAGATTTATCAGATCCTTTTGTCAAATTCAGTCATATCATCCAAGGACTTAAAGACAATGGACTGTGAACAGAGTAACCATTTTCCTCTCCTTTTTTTTTCATTCGAGTTCCATTTTCCCCCTAATTTCTTCTTTATTTTCTTTATCTGGCGTGAGTTGATATGTTAATTAAAATATTAATATAGTGGTTTCATAGAACATCTAATTAACGAAACCACTCAAAACCAGGTTTTCATTGTATCCTCACCCTTACTTGCATTAATCCAAATGTTCTTACTCTGCAATGCTCTTCACAGAGAGCAAGGAGGCTTCTTCTGCTTCTGTCCTCAGCTGACCCAGAAGAGGACTGGTAACCACGGTTTTAAAGGTGCTAAAAATTGCTTTATGTTGTGCCTTTGATAATCGCAGTTCTTTAGAAAGTGATAAAGAGATGCTCAAGACTTTACAAGAGCACTGATATTCTCTCCTGGCATCATTTAGTTTCTGTTCTGACTTCTCATCTGTTCTGATGTTTCAAGTGTTCATGTTTGGAAAATCCTGAAGTAGTCCCAGCTGCCCCTGTGGGCCTCTTACTGCTTAAATCGTAACTTGTGATACCCAGGGAGTTACTGCAAGATAAACAAAAGCTGCAGCCATTTACCACCTTCCCATTTTCAAAGCTTTTCAGTATTTCTTCTTGTTGTGATTTAGTGAACACTCCAGAAGGCAGTGGAGCTGCAGAAGCAGAGTCCAGCCAGTGGACGTGTAAAGTGTGTTCATCTGCTTTCCAGGAGCCTCAGCTGCTGACAGGTAAGAAGCACTAGAAATTAATGAGAGAGTACTGAGAAGCATCAGGAGAATTCTGCTCTTCAGAATTCTGAAGAGAATTCTGTCCTTCACAGAGCAGGACACTGTGAAGCCATACCCTGTCCATGATGCAGTAAGATAAAGGTTTTAATTTTTGTGTTCCTTTAAGAAAAACAGTAGCAGGGAAGGTAAAACAGTGATATTTTGGATATGGCAGTGGTCAAGCTGTGGGCAAACAACTGTGATGTTGAATCCAGAAGAAACAAAACTGTTGTCTAGAAGATGACATGTGAATGTTAGGAGTATCAAGGATGGGGAACTGCATGAGCAGCGTACAAAGTCAGTGATGCCAGCTTATGCTTAGTCTGTCTGGTATTTATGGCACAGATTTAGTAAAGGTAATGAAATACCTTTTTTTTCCTGCATTTCATTTGCAGCTATTTTGTGCAGTTTTCAAAAGAACTTAGCATATTTAAGAGCTCTGACCATTTGATGAATCATTTTTGAAAAGGGGACTTAGGCTGCTAAATAACTTGGGCATTTGGAAAAATGTACCCATTGTCAGGGGGCGCAACCTTTTCCAGTGATACCTAACAAACGTCTTAAAAAATTCAGTCCCTGTGAGTAATCGTTTCAATGTTTAATAGACTGTATGCTTTTGTTTAGGAAGGTATTGTGACTGCTTTTGAAATAATTTGAAGTGAGTCTCTGCTAAGTGAGGTTGACCTGATAGATAGGCTTCAGCTGGATCTATCCCTTTGAGTATTTCATGACAGTTTCTTTCCTCCTTACTCTCTTGTTCTTTCCCATCCACCCAGAGCACTTGCTGAGTCACCTGGAACAAGCTAAAGGTGCCCCCCAAACCAGCCAAAATGAGGCTGTTGCTGAGAAAGCAGCGGAGGCTCCCCCGGTGGATCAGCCAGTGATTTGTGATGCAGCCAGTGCCAGTACAGACTCAAGGAGGAAGGCCAGGCGGGGAAGAAAGCCCAAAACAGCAAAAGCAGAAACACCTCTTGTCGTCGTTGAAGAGAAAGACTCTGCAGGTAAAACAAAACTTAAGAAAATGCTAAGCACATATCCTCTTATATGTCTGTATTGATGCCTTCTCAGAAAGGCCTAAAAAGTAGCACAGAGACAAGATGGAGGTTTTTAGTTAGATCACTAAAGCAGACAATTTACAAACTTTGTTAATTATCTCTGAGGTCCTTGTCTATGCTAATTGTTGCAACACCTACACTTAGATTACCTGCATTCTCCTGTGACGGTTTTAGTAATAGAGAGGCCCAGGGAAACACAGGATAGTGGTTATGAGAGACCTGCCTAGCTTTCTGCAGGAACAGAAGAGAAAGCATCCTCCCTCTCAAGAGGAGATACCTTCCTCTCTCTACCTTAAGGTTTATTCTTGAAAGGGGCTTTTTTCAAGGCCTTACCTTCCTTTAAGGAAAGGTGTAGTAGGAAATTTCATGATGCATAGTCAACTGACCCCTTAGTAATAGGTTGGAAAGGTAAGAAATTACACCTCTGTAAGAGATGTTGACTCTTCTTACTTGTCGTTCAGTAGCCACTTTCTCTATCTTGCAAGTGCTACCTACTCATTAGCGATCCATTATTTGTCGTGGATGAATAATATGTTCAGTGCCACACCTCATTACAAAAGCAAATTCCTGCATTTGAGGTTTTATTTCTAGCTATCCACATTAACACTGTATTTTTATGACGTGCTTGCAGCGGAACGTGTAGCTGACGTTGTAACTGAGGTCCCACCAGAAGAGGTAGCCCTGCCTTCAGCTGCAGAAGAGAGAATTATGGAATTGGTTTTAGGAAAGATGCCTAGCACCACAAATAGCATGAGTTCAGTGACAAAGTAAGTGCTCTGGGATGCAGAATTTCCTCTTAGGCTTAATTAAGATTATGTAGCACGTAACAGCTCTGCTCAACTTCCAGGCCCAGAGATGCTCTTTTATATTAGTGTAAAATTGTGTGATGCTGCTGCTGCTGCTACAAGAGCTGACTTTGAGTGCCACAAAGATGGCTTGTGCACTGGAGGATGGTGCACAGATAGTGAGATATTGGTGGTAGAATTTTGGAGCATAAACCATGAGAATTTCATTTTCCATCATGTTACTCCTTTCATTCAGTGTGATTCCAAAAGCCTCCTGCAGCTGCAAGGTGAAATATTACTCCTGTTGAATGTTGCTGATAAAACAGGCAAAGAGATTTTTGCTAAAAAAATTATGCTAACCATTATTATTCAGTCTTGCTTGTCATCTTAACTCATGAATGACTTCAAGTTGATTTGTGCGTGTGATACTTCAGATTTAGAGCGGTGGGAGGGGAAAAGTTCAATATAACAACGTCAGAGAGACTCTTAAATATCATTTGATTAATTTAGATTCTTTTATGTCTTTTTGTCTCGGTAAAATTGGCTTTTTGAATTATTTTTTGTATAATAAAGCACTTGATTTTTCAAAATTAGCTAGTAGAGCTATATATTGAAGTCCTCAGCAGACACAGAGCCATCAAAAATGCATTCCAGCGGGTGGTTGTGCTGGGAAATAGAACAGTACTGCTTCTTGGTGCCCTGCTGCCCTCTAATCATATACGCCTTTTGCACGCGAACTGCCAAGCTTTCTGAGCTGAAATAGCGCTAATGGTTTCAGAGGATAAGCAGAACAGATCCTTTATGTTCCTCTGAGGGGCCTGCAAAGAGAATCTCTGAGGCTGGTGGCTGCTGCTTTTTTCCTCGTTTGTGCTGGGTGAAGGTAATTTGGAGTGAGCCGCGCTCCGACATCTGCTGCTTCCAGGGGGTGGCCAGGAGGGCGCCTTGGCAATGAGGAAGCTTCAGGCCCCCCTCTCCTGCCAGAAGCTGAGCATAACACTCCTTTAGCTTTTGCCCGCTGGTGGGACTCTTTCTTGCAACCTGTGGGATACCTTTCAGTCCCTGCCTTTCTTTCTCTAATCCAGTAGGTTTGCTCATCACCAAAACACCATGTCCCTCAAAAGAAGTTTAATTCTCTCCAGTAGACATGGTATACGGCGGAAGCTGATAAAACAACTTGGGGAGCACAAGCGAGTCTATCAATGCAGTATCTGCAGTAAGATCTTCCAGAACAGCAGCAACCTCAGCAGGCACATCCGTTCTCACGGTGGGTTTGATTTTTGCCTCACTTGCATATTGATTTTGTCCTTCAGTGGTTCCACCTTTGAGTAAAACAGCTAGCCTATTCCTAGATATTGGGATACATAACTTTAATAGAACTCTTTTTTCTTTTTTTCTTTTTTTCTTTTTTTTTTTTAACTCTCTCTAGGGAACTCTTTTAGTTTTGCAGACCAAAGCATGAGAACGTAATAGCTGAAATTTGAAATTAGAGTACTTAAAATTTGAATTTAGGTACATATTTTAAATGGAGGCGAGGATGTGATGTTTTTTCCAAAACTGTTCTTCCCTTTAAATATATACATATATATCGCACCCCACCTTCACAGGCACATGGGTAACATTGCTGTGTAAATGTCAGCTGAGTGCTCTTTAGCTTGTGATCTGCAGTTCCAGGGGTCCGTGATCTACTTCTAAGGATTCCATGAAAAATAATCACTGAAAAAGGGTGGGGGAACTAAACAAAATTATTGTCAAAATTGTTGGAAAAGGTTAAAATCCACTATTTGGATCTCCTGAATTACTAAAGCTTCTCATCACTAGCCTGTTCGTTTGCAGTTGCTTGTGCTTTGGTTTCCCATGTCTTGCCTGGAATTGCTTATTATCAGTCGCTGACTACTTTCTTTTTTTTATTTTATCTTGATTGATCCCCTCAGGTGACAAACTATTTAAATGTGAGGAATGCGCAAAGCTGTTCAGCCGTAAAGAGAGCTTGAAGCAGCATGTTTCATACAAGCACAGCAGGAACGAAGTGAGTGGAAATGACTAGCGGGCTCTTTTTGAGGTTAGGTGAAAATGTACAGTGAGCTTCCAGGTGCTAGCTGGGGAGCTTGGGTGAATTATATTTGAGCGGATGCCCATGTGAATAAGTGAGACAAGGCTGATAGGGAGAGGTAACATCTCCTGTTAGAACAGTTGATGAATTTGCAAAGTGTGGACACGCTTTTGAGTGTACAAGTCCTTTTTCATGTCTGAATTTCCTATAGAAGGTTGTTTTCAGGCATCAGTTACAGCAAGACAAGCTGGAGTTAGCTGGACCTGCATGATCTAGAAGTGAGATCTGACTTCAGTTTATGGTACTAAATAGGATTGTTCCAGTCTTGTTTGCTTGTCCCGTTTCATTTATCCTTACCTATAGCGTCATTTAACGCATGAACTCTCCAGGTAAAGGCTGTGTCATGAAGGGCTATGCGTACGTGTGTGAACCTACATTCTTACAGTAGCAGCACCATGCCTGTTGGTGATGGCCTTTCAGTGCTGCTGCCATATAAATATTAAACATGCCTGTAGCAGGGCCTTATCAGTGAGTATTTCCATTGCTGCTTGGCATCAAGGTCCTAAGCTCCCAGATTACTGGCATCTATTCTGGAGCTGGAGGATGAGTCAGATTGCATCTTGCTTCTCAAAAATTCTGTCTCTGTGTTGGACCGGGGGTTATCAGGAAGACTCTTACATGCACACAGGTGCATGGTCTACTTTTTTTTTTTTTTTTTTTGATAGAGCTCAGATGTAGGAGCATGGCAGGATGATACAGTGTCAGAATTTTGCATCAATGTGTATTTAAATGTCCCGTTGAAGGAAGAAAAATTGGAAAAGACAGAGAACAGAAAAAGTGGTTGAGATTTAGAATTTCTCTGTCAGACGTGACTTGGCTTTTTCCCCACTTAAACACTTACTGTTTGCAATCCTCAGGTTGACAGTGAGTACAGATACAAGTGCACCACATGTGAGAAGGCCTTTCGGATAGAGAGTGCGTTGGAATTCCATAACTGCAGGACAGGTGAGAATGGCTAACCGTTCCGCTTCTTCTGGCGTCTCTACTCCATTTTGGGGGGATATCCACAAATCCATCTCAGCACAGAAACTACAGAAGGGGAGTAGGAGATTGTCATCATCACAACAAGCAACCCGCCCCACTTCCCTCAAAAAAACTCTTTTTGTGATAAGAAAAGAGTAACCAGTAATCTGTAGAGCTACACATCCACTTACGTATTGCTTTTTTTAGTCTCTCCTGCTCACCTGTCTAATATCTTCACTGGTATTTCATTTGTATGTTCACAGATACCCTGTCACCATCTCTGTTTAATTTTCTTTCCTGAAACTAAGTTTCACCTCATTTCTCTGAAACAGAGGGACTGGAAAGGGGGCCAGTACTATCGATAGTTTGTAGTTTTCTGGGATTACAGTTTTCTTCTGGTTTCTCATGCTTTCTTTATACTTGCAGTAGTCTCTGTAGATGTTTTTTTCTTAGTATCACTAGAACCTGTCCTTCTCTCCCATAGCCATCCCTTGTGGTTACTCATAGTATTTATGCTGAGTGATCTTATGCTTAGAAAATGACATCCTGGTTTCTTCTATGGACCCATGATAACTGTCAGTCCAAAATCACCTGGGTAATTGCCCCTTACAGCACCATTCAAAGTAGGTTTTCTCATTTCTTTTCAGAGGGTACAGCTTGTATAAAAACTCAGCCTTACGAAGAATAGAAAGTAATGCCAAGTAACCTCAGTATTCTGTTTATTCAAGGGCAGCAGCTCATTTTCTCTGTGAGTTGGCCAACACGAGCAGCAGTTTTTGCTCTACTCTTCAAGGCATCAAACTATTACTTCTTTGTGATTGCTGCAGCACTGGCAGATTCCATCTATAGGACCATGCTTTCATATTCCAAGAAAAATCTCAACTACTGAACACAAACCAAATTCCCCATAGGCCTATTGTCATGTAATTGTATATTTTTGAGCTTTTATACTTTCTTCTGGAGTATTCTGTACTGGCTGGTATTAGGAGCCAGTTCTGGCAGAAGTATTCTGGTGCTTAGACACAGCTGCTCATGTGATGCCGTGTTGCTGTATGTGTAGTGATTTTAGCAACATTAAAAACTTGAATCAACTGTAACAGAATCCACTCCAAGCATAATTTTAATGTATGCTAGACCACAATGGAAATAGCCCATGTGAGGAAGTTACAATGCTAGATTCTATGTTCAAGTTAGCATCATATATCTTTATTGCCTTTGAAAAAAATCGTGAAGTAAAAGAAAAATGCATGCTTCTGCATTTCCCTCCTCAATCCATATAATGATGGATTATATGTTAAAACTCGGATCTAACAAAAGAACTACCAGTCTCACAAACATACAAAACCTGTTTTCATCTGTAAAGAGCTGCATGGTTTCTCTTGCTTACAGATGACAAGACATTCCAGTGTGAGATGTGTTTCAGATTCTTTTCTACAAACAGTAATCTTTCAAAACACAAGAAAAAGCATGGGGATAAGAAGTTTGCATGTGAAATCTGCAATAAGATGTTCTACCGGAAGGATGTCATGCTAGACCATCAAAGACGACACTTGGAAGGTAAGTATACTGCAGATCAACCTAATTATTACTCTACAGCAGTAGAGGTTGGAAGGCCAAGGAAACGATTGCGCGTTAGATTCTTCTGGATGGTAACTCTTTTTTTTTATCAGTTACCTGATCTGGAATAGCAGGTTTCAGCAAAATGTGTCATTTATTAAAAATAATAGTAATGGATCCTGGAGGGGAGTTGTCTAATTCTATGAAAAACTTTCTAGGAGATGCACCTGCCTTTTTTTTTTCAGCCTCACGTGATTGGATCCAGTGCTACTAACAGTCATGTGAAAGTTGCTTGGCTTATTATGCAGTAGTTTAGCTGATTTTAATTATATCTTTCTCTTTCTTTGAATTCTTTTCTTTCTTTTTTAAAAAACATGTAACTTGAAAATTTGAAGGCAGAGAATTAACTTAAAATGTACAACTGAAAGTGACTACTGTGTAAATATAGTATAAATGGAATGCTGTGTGATGTTATCTTTCAAAACCTTGAGAATATATGAAAATGATATTGTAAGAGTTTGCTGTTCAAAATCTCAACCATCTAAGGATGTTATAGGTACTCAAAGACTCTGGAAAGACTTGGGTGATGGTAGATTGCTGAAATATGTATTAAAATGTCTCTAGCGATCTAGATGATAAAACCAAAGGTGATTTTAAAAAAGCAGCCAGACTGTCTAATTTGGTGCTTTGGACGTAGCCGACCGTCACTGGTTGCTCTTGTGATTCAGACCTTTGTGTCATGAACTAGAGGACAGCTAGAGGACAAGGGGTTGAATGGCAGTGGCAAGGCTTCTCGTGTTTAGCTGTCACAGAACAGCAGCAGCCCTCTTCCCTCCTGAAAGTAGCAGAGAAAGAGGTCTGAAATCCTCATTGAGCATTAAAGATGATGCTGGCTGGTTGCCTCTCTCCGTAGAGACTGCGAGGGGGAATTTCTGGGCCAGATATCTGATTGAAGTGCCAAGGCCTACTAGATCTGCCTGTTTCCAGGTGTTGACAATAAATGTCTGTTTTCAGACACTTTACAATTGGTGTAGTAACCAATAAGCCGTAATACCTCACTTTGGCAGACTGCTTTTATACTCTTAAGACACCGTTTTAATTTAGAAATTATCCTTTTGTTAGCAATTAAATTCTGCATTGAGGCTCTTCCCAGTGTTTCACTCTTCTTTACAGTATTCACCTGAAAGGGCATGCAGATTGGAGTGGAAAACCATGGTTTATTTTTTTTGTTTTGTTTTTTTGATGGGGACTGTTCTGTTAAGGGGTGAGGCGTGTGAAAAGAGAAGACTTTGAGCACAGCACGGAAAACATGGTTCGCTACAAGAAGGAGCCTTCGGGATGCCCCGTGTGCGGGAAGGTAGGCGTCTTTGCCAGCGTGTGCTATGTGAAGCTCTGCATTGTAGCTCCAGGATACTGCAGGGATACGGCGCGCCTCAACCCAGCACCTCCAAACGAGTTACCGTGGCATAACAAGTTACCACCCGTGTATTAAACCACAATAGCAGCTTACCTGAATAGGCACACAGCCTGCCAAAAGGTTGAGGTAGATGACTTGCACTGAGGTACGTGCCAAGTCAGATTACCTCGCAACTCGGACAGGCACGTGGTTAGTTACCAGCGAGCCCTGTCGCTCAGCCAAGATGTTACTCTTTACACTGCCTTAGCTCCATGATATATCCAAGCCCACTGTGGCCATGGATGGTGGGAGCTGTTAGGACAAAGATAAGAACAAAACTGAAGCTCAGGCTAGACTTTTTTTCAGGACATGTAGCACAACGTAGAGTGTAACGTGGCCGCTGTGTCTGTCAGTGAAATCTCATGGCTTATGTTATTTAGAGTGAAGTTTTTCTGCTGGAATGTAAACAACGGGAGTTGACTGTGTGCATTGGGAATCATTTTCTATTAGAAATCAAAGTGAATTCATGGTGTAGTCATGGCACTGTTGTATTTGGGTGTTTAACGCTCATGATCTTAAGTTGCTGTTATGACAGGTACAAAGACTGTGGGTTTAACTAGTGATTTTATAAATGTTTAATGATTCATGGTGCAAGGTGTACTCAAACAACTCTTACGTTGGTGTGTAGACCTTTGTTTTTGATGCTTTGGATATGTTACTTATCAATGAAGGTAGATTTTGTGGATGTGTCTTTTTATAGATAGGTGGAACATTCATGATTCAAACGACACTGTCTAAATATTTCTAAATCTACCCTATGTAATTCTGCTGTGGCTTTTTTGGAAGTCCACCTCTGATGAACGGCCCATTTCAGTCAGTTCCTTGGAACTGTACACCTGTATTTTGCTGTGCCAGCAGTTTCTGAGGTAGCCTGCTGGCTGGATAACAGGAGCTCCTACATGTTTCTGGCCAGAATGAATAAAACAGGACAGTAAATATGTTCCATGCTATCCATCGGATAACTTGCAAAGAACTGTAGCCCTGCTGGACATGATACAAAAACCCTTCCTCCTTCTTTTCTTTTAGGTATTTTCATGTAGGAGCAATATGAACAAACACCTTTTAACACATGGAGACAAGAAATACACTTGTGAAATCTGTGGACGTAAATTTTTCAGGGTGGATGTGTTGAGAGATCACATTCATGTCCATTTTAAGGTATTGTGTTAATAATTTATTAGAAAAGGCATGTTACTTAGCAGACATATAAACATATCAATAAATATATTGGGACTGTTATGGCCACATGTTCATACTGGCAACACGACAGTGATTATGTACCCTGTGCAGTGATGTTTCTACAGCAGCCTAGCACGAGCTGTGCTCTGATTTACACATGGCTCTGTTTCTACATCTGGATTGCTACAGAGTATGTGGACTATTATATTTGAAGTTACTTCAGCTGCCACTACGGAACACTGTTCTGAACGCTAAGGAAAAGCCACCTCTGTGAGCTTGGGTGAATCACAGAGGCTGCTCGGTTTAAAGCAGGGAGAATAACTTAACAGGAAGGCTGCAGAGAGATGTATTGTTCCAGCTGTAGTTTGGTTGGGCTGAGGGGTTACTGTCATCCCCTCTCTTTGTGGGGAAAAAAACAAACAAGGGAACTAATTGTTTCTGCCCTTTCCATGCCAGTGATTGTGATTCTTTTGTATATGCCGGCATAACTGCCTGTGTATTGAGCTCCTTACGTGGTTTTATCAAAATGTTCCAAATCACAAAAAACCCACCTATTAATAGTGCTTAATCAGACCCAGATTATTTTGATGTAACTAGGTTAACACTGAATTGTAAGGAATTGAATTGAAAGGGAATTGGTGTCACTCAGTAGTGCTGATAAAGATGCTTTAATGGATCTAACACTGTACCAGTTGAGTCTCTGTTTACATTGAAGTTCCTTTTATACACAAAAGATGGAGTATTGTTTGAATAAACAGTTGTTCCTTGTTTAGTCCTGGACAGAGGAACTTTGTTTACCTGAATTGAATGAAGCAGGAGGATATTTTAAATAAATAATGTTATAGCAGTTGTTAATGCAAGGCAGTCTGCATGGCAACAAAAGCTGACTAGGTGTTACCTTTTGAAATAGAAGTTTATTTAAACAGAATATTCTTTCCCACCCTACACAGGACATAGCACTAATGGATGATCACCAGAGAGAAGAGTTCATTGGTAAAATTGGAATCTCATCAGAAGAAAACGATGACAACTCTGATGAAAGTGCAGATTCTGAGCCTCACAAGTATAGCTGCAAAAGGTGCCAGGTAGCTTTAAATACTTTCAGATTAATTTGTTTTGGGATGGGGAAGGGGGTGGAGATGTCTGTAAATCATTCAGAATTTTAAATAACGTTAAGGGTTCACAAAGAGAAGGCCAGTCCACAGGTCTGCTCTCTTCTGCAGTGCTTGTTACCTCTAATCTATGAAGCGATGCTATTCATTAAGACTTTAGGTGGTGGTCTGTAAGGTGAATGCTAAACACTTAAAAAGAGAAATACACATACGTACGCTTACCTGTGTGCAAGGAAGCAAGCAAGCAAAACTGGAGGAAGAAACAATAAAGGAACATTCAAATCTTACACTATCTTTTAATTATGTGCAAATTAAAATCATTACAGCATTTCTGAATGATACAGTCCACAAATCGATTAATTTTGATGAGATCAGATGGTCCTCTAGTGGATATCTACTTTGGAGGATTAAGACTGCTGCTTATGTTCAGTATGACTGCTTATTCTTGGCCTACTCTATTACTAACAGGATGGCATTAGAAGTACTGCTGGAACATACTTTACTCAGTTGTCAGCTGAGAGAGGAAGACTTTTTGAAGCTCTTACTACATGGCTTTTGCCATTTTGTAAAGAAGTAGTGGGGAAGAATGGGGTCCTTAAGGCCCGTTTGGATTCTGTGTCCTTACTGGGCGAGTGCGCTGTGTTGGGGTGGGTGGGATGCAAAAGCAATCGGTGAGAACAGCAAAACTGGCCAAACTGACATAGGGACGGGGGAATTTTGGTAGTTAAGCCACTGACTTGGCCCCTGGAAATCCGAGCTTGTTTCACAGCCTACACTTACTGTGGTGAAAGTGCTTAGCTTATCTTCGTTTCAAAGACACGGGAATAATACTACTTCAGTTTTCTTTTCTTGTCTGTGAACTGGTTTTAAGTGCAAACTGATTTTAAGCTTATGTCAGTAAGCATAAGAAGATGTGGTATCACAGCAGTTAATGGTGTGCTTGCTTTCAATGTGGTAATTTTAACACCTGACACTTAATGGGTACATAAACTATATAAAATTGTATGCTTCCAAATGAGGGCAATTGTGCCATTCAAATTAGAAAGCTCTTTTTGGAAGCTGGGTTTTTTAGCGCTTTTGCAGGTGTTTGTGACCTAAACAGTTGTGTAAGGCAACAGCTGTGGAAAATGAGTGTTAACCTGTGATGAGATGGGGAGGCTCTTTTTGGCTGAACATATCTGTTCATGCATTCCTAAGGGAGAACAACATATGAATGAGTCTTAGTGAAATATCTCTTCTGAGCTCTTAGGAATCTCTCTCTTTAGTTTTTTCTCATCCCAAAGTACACCTTCACCAAGCTGTGCAGCGCTGTCAGAAATACCCTGACTAGTTTGAAAATTGGAGCAAAAGATCATGTCATAATGGCACTTTGCCCTGGTATGTTGGAGCATATATGTGTATGCAGGGTTACTTAGCCCAGGGAGCTAAGTAACTTAGCCCAGGGAGCACCTGTCTATCGTAGTTGTAGCACTTCCAGGAGCTGAGCTAGAATCACTGCCCTGCAATGCCTAGAAATACCAACTCTTCTGGAGCTAATGCTGAAGCTTACTATGCAGACTAGAGCTTACCATGCCCCTAGAGCCCAAAAGACATTTTTTCCATCTGTGGCATCCTTGCTTTGACAGCTAGTGGAGGTTAGACATGGCTCTCTTCAAGGCTGTTCCTCAGTGCAGAAATAACTGGAGGTCCTCTACTTGTGCAGCGTAAGAAGCAGAGATACCATCTCAAGCTAGTTTTCCAAATGAGTTAACTGATGTCCTGTAGCAATGTGCTTGTAATGGCCAAAGAGGTTCAGGCCTAAATCCAGCTTTCACAGATTTTTCATCTAGTGATACACAGGGTATTTATGTCTAGTAGCTCCGACTCTAGATCCCGGTAATGTGTTACTAGATTGTTGCTGTTCCCGAGGACTTTTTTCCCCTTTCATTCACTATTGGTTCATTCCACAGTTGACGTTCGGCAGAGGGAAGGAGTACCTGAAGCACATAATGGACGTGCACAAGGAGAAAGGCTATGGCTGTAGCATTTGTAACCGACGTTTTGCCTTGAAGGCAACTTACCACGCACACATGGTCATTCATCGGGAAAACCTGCCTGATCCTAACGTGCAGAAGTAAGATGATGTGTTGGACTGATAAGAGGAGCTATGTTTTTGAAGTTATAGTGGCTCTGCCAGCTGATGCTTTTAGAGAATTGGGCTGTACTGAAATACCTGAAACTGTGTAATGGGTGTTAAGACGTTTATTAAAAGCCTGAAATATATATCACTAATGATTCACTTCACACAGATGATTAGTCAACAGCCTCTCAGTTTGGGCTTTGTAAAGTATAAATCTATGATTTTGGTAAATATTTTTTTAAAAACTATGATTTGAGGATATAGCAATGCCAGACTGCTCCAAGCTTGCAGTGAACTTATGGGTTTCTTAAGGCTCATTTTAAAAATGCATTTATGTTTCAAGAAACTTTTATAGTAATTAGTATTACCAAATGAAATACGGTTACTGACACAGATGCTTGAAAAACACCTCTGTCTCAAGAAAAGAATCACAGTTTTTGGTCTCTCTGGTTTCAGATACATCCATCCATGTGAAATCTGTGGAAGGATTTTTAACAGTATAGGAAATCTGGAAAGACATAAGCTTATACATACAGGTAAAACTGTTGTGTTTGTTTATTATTATCAATATTAAAAAGAAATTTCTGTTGCCAGTGCCTGCAAAGTTATGGGTTTTTACTGGAAGTTACAATAAGATAAATGTTATATTTATGCTTTTAGGGTAGACCGGTTTTCTAAAGCAGGTAGTATTAATGAAGATATTTGGTCTAGGCATACAATCAAGATTCCTAGTTAATATGATGCAGGATTCACCTGCTAAAAATCCTAATTCTGTATTCTGTTCTTCCCCAAATTCTTATCCATGCCACCTTCTCACCATTACACAGGCTGAAAACTGCTATTGCAAAATCATTTTTAACAGCTCATTATTATTTCATGCTATTCAGTATTTTCCTACCTCAGGCTTTATCTTTTTTTTTCCAATCTATCTCACACAAAAGGTCAGCTTTTCTCTCTCTCCAAAGTCTTCTAATTTAGTTTGGGCTACAATATGCATGAAGGATGTGGTTGACAACACAGGTGGACTGTTGCCCTCTGATTCACCAGTTTAGTCAGTTTTTAGGAGATGCACATTTTTCATTAACATTTTTTTTGTTTATGTTGTCTTTTAAATTTATTTTTAAGGTGTAAAAAGTCATGCTTGTGAGCAATGTGGCAAATCATTTGCTAGAAAAGACATGTTAAAAGAACATATGCGAGTCCATGATAATATCCGAGAATACTTGTGTGCAGAATGTGGCAAAGGTATGTCTAATGCCTTGTTTTCCATTAATTGTGATACTGAATAGCAGGTGAATATCTGAATTAAAACTACTTCCATTCTTAGAATATTGGGAAGGTCCTCGGAGTGTTGTAAATCTTGCATTTTTGAGAGGTAGAAACTGTATTAACCTTCCGGTTACATAAACTACCCCTAATTTTCTATAATTTGGTTTCATGGCCTGTAAGACAAAACTGATGTTAATAAAATTTGCTTCTGTCAGATTGAGGAGCGCTTGCTTGACTGAGTTTGCAGCACAAAAGTGAATACAAGTTAATTTTTTCATTCTAGGCTGTTTTCAGGCTTAAGAAAGAGAGTAATTTCTCTCTGTAAGGGCCTTAAGAGTCAAAGTTGCTTTGACTTTTTGAATTGTTCGCGTTATAACTTGAACAAATCTGAGCTGGTATTTTAGTGGAAGGCAAGAAGTCTGACATCTCTAATGATGTTTTGTCTTTGCTTGTCGCTGCTGTTTTGCCTCTTCCTCAGTGGTTACTCAGATGTTTTCCAGAGCTTTTTCCTGGAATTAAAATAATAATGATAATGTGCACTGCTACCTAAACAATTAAAAATATGCAATTGTGGACATGCAGCAAATATAATCTTAGAGCTCTTGGCTAACAACATGGTCATCTTGAGTTCTCCTCTGAAGGTGGGAGCAATGGACTAATTGTCATGCTGTACCTTTTGTCTCACAGGAATGAAGACAAAACATGCACTTCGTCACCACATGAAACTTCACAAAGGGATTAAAGAATATGAATGCAAGGAATGTCACCGAAAATTTGCACAGAAAGTCAACATGCTGAAGCATTACAAAAGACACACGGGTGAGGTCTCTAAAGATGTACAAAAGTTGCACCGAATCAGTTAAATGCTTCCTGAGAGAACTCTTTTCTAGAACAGTCAGAGAGTATGAGAAACACCAATAAAAAAATACGCATATTCTGCTTTTTGAAGAGTGAGATTTTGTCCTTTCGTCAGCCAAGACCACCTGTTATACAATTAAGATACATAGTTTAGTTGGTTTCATGTTGTTTTGCTTTTTTAAGAGAGGTTGTTTTGGTCTAGGGTAGGTCTAGAGTGTTGGTTTTGTTTTAAGTTAGTCTTCAGGTTCTCATTTCCCAAAACAAAATTTTACCTCCCACATCAATTTCTCTTGGATTCATTTTCTGCCAGGTCCAGTGGCATGGCTTAGATAAAAATAGCTGGTGAAGCTGGGCTGCTTCTACTTGTTCGGCTGTGATTTTTTTTTTTTTTTTTTAGTAATACGAGACTCAGAATTGTCCCAGATACCTTAGACTGTTTTCACTCTGATGCTAAATGTGCTCTTCATGCAGGAATCAAAGATTTCATGTGTGAGCTCTGTGGCAAGACGTTTAGTGAGAGAAATACAATGGAGACTCATAAGTTGATTCATACAGGTAAATCATCTGAAAAACAGTATCCAAAGACAATATCTTAATTTTATTGCTAGGCTTGCTTTAGACTTGCCAGTCTTGGAACTAGTGTTACACATCATGTTACCAGCATAAAATTGTTCCTCTTGTTGAGATGCTGACAATACAATACTCATCTTTGGGGGCTGTTGCTAACAGCGTTTCCTTCCGTCTGCCACCAGTAGGAAAACAGTGGACATGTTCAGTCTGTGATAAGAAATATGTCACTGATTACATGCTACAGAAGCACATCCAGCTCACTCATGATAAGGTAGAAGCCCAGAGCTGTCAGCTGTGTGGGACAAAGGTTTCTACCAGAGCGTCCATGAGTCGACATATGAGGCGTAAACATCCAGAGGTGAGTTAGTTTGGCAGGTAGATTGTGGGGTGGTTTGTTTGCATTTGTTTTACTTCTTTTTTTGGTAAAGAAAGTTTATGGCCTTCAGTGACCTGAAAGGAATTACTTTTTTTTTTTCCTCTCTCTTTTTTCTGCTCTTTTGGGGCCAATTTTAGGTAGTGTCAAGTGTGCACTTAGCTGAATCAGCCTTTTCATTGTGTTATGTTTCAGTAGTAAACATATCTGATTGTCAGTCACTAAAAATGAAGTTCTTCTGATTATTTAAATCCCTTTTCTTTTTCTGCCTCATCTTAAATGTATATTTTTTTCATGTTTTGTCTTCATCCATTAGTGAGTATAATTGATTCTTTTTTCCCCATTGTGTTCTCTGTATTCAGAAGTGATCTGAAAGAAGTGGTGAATAGAGAGGTGATGGCAGCATCTGCTGATGATACAAAATTATTCTTAGTATTAAAGATGAATGCTGACTGCAGACAATCTGGATTAGAGGGATGTTTTGTCTGACCCCAATGGGGCTTTTTCTGTGTTCTAAATTTCTGAATAGCTATTGCGTTTCTCCTCAGCATTTCTTGGTTAGGTTGACTAAGGCTTGTCCGTTTCCTTTGAGGCTTTTTTTTTTTTTTTACTACCAATTTATCATTAGTATTGCATTGCCGTGAACATTTTTTTATCATGATGACTGGGAAGGAAGTCAACAAAAAGCTTTGTTTATTGATTTTTGGATTAAAAATGCAGCTACATATCTGCAATCCAGAGGGCAATTTGTCTCTGTTCTTTGATAAGCTGAGATGTATAGATTCAGCTGAAAATAATGGAGTAGGACACAGTCGATAGGTTTATAAATAGAAATGCTAAAATAATAGTATTTTTTTCACGTTGTTTGTTTTCTATGGAATTCCTCACTTCCCAGTGGGTTGTGTTCTGTCTAGAATATGAAAATAAACATATTCTTCTATTGTTGTCTTTAAACTTTGCTGGTGTTCAGCGAGAAGGAAAAGGTTATATGCCAAAAGGTTATTTAAAAAAAAGCCATGGTTAAATCCCTTGTATTAAATGATATGTGTAAAATGTTAGATTACATCTTTTTTGCTTTGTGACAGGATTTATTAGGGCAATGCTGTATTGTTTGACTGTGGTATGCGCTGCTGTAGTTCACCACCTGACACCTCTTTGTCTACAGATTCTTTCGGTAAGGATTGATGATTTAGAGCAGCTGCCAGAGACGACTACCATTGATGCCTCCTCAATTGGGATTGTTCAGGTAAATTGGTCGTTGCAGAATTCTGGTGGCAGCTAGGTTCCAGGCCTACTCGAGGGTGAGGTGGGGACGTCACTTTTTTGGTACATAAGATGGCTGGGCGTAGGCTGATGGGCAAGGAATGTGCTTTTTTAGAGAGTCAGGCCCAGCTTAACATGTATAAGCAGATGCAAGCTGTTGATCTGTTTTGTTGTATAACGTGGGTGCTGGTAAAATGGAGGTAATTACAGGGTGAGGTCTGATTCTCTGAAATCAGGTTTTTGCTAAAGTTTGTGTCTTCACTTGAGAATTGACAGTAAACCAGCTTCAGGTCATAGTCTCTTACTTGGAACCTCACTAAGCAAAATGACTTGATGTTTTGTTTGGAAATGTGTTGCTCCAGCCGGAATTAGCCTTGGAACAGGGAGAATTACCAGAAGGGAAGCAGCATATGAAAGCTCCTAAACGTGGCCAGAAACGAAAACAAAAGTCAGGTGAGGAGGAGGAAGCTCAAGTGCCTGAGGACCCTGCCTTCAGTGAATACACAGAGAAGGAAGGTGAATTCACAGGGAATGTTGGAGATGAGACTAATTCAGCTGTGCAGAGCATCCAGCAGGTGAGCTCCAGTAGCAGGGTGATGAGTAGCAGGCATTGCTTAGAGAGATAACCCTTCTTTTTTCCTAATAGCAAACCAAAAGAGTGATCGGAACATTTAGAGCTAGTTTGATAAACTGTGGTAATAGGAAGACGAATAGAGTCTTTAAAAAACCAAGGAGTTGGACCAGTAAGCTCCTCATGTTTGTTTTCATTTCCTTTGGTGTTACCGTCTCCTTGTTTGCCAGATACCACTAACAGGCTGAAGCTGTGACTAAAAGTGTGAAAGTTACTTCGGCTGCTTGTTTTGAATGTTGCCTATGCCTCCTTCCCATTACCTTCTTATTTCTAGATGGGGAAGTTGTTATATTCCAAGCTTTCTGTGTTCCCCTCTGTGTGTATGACTTCTCTTGCTGGCAGTAGCAACATGTGAGCCCATCAGAACTCAGGTGATCTTTCTTGATGCTTGATATTTGGTAGTCGGCTGCAAGATATAAGGTTGAGGTTACCTTTCTGCTCTTCCTCAGGTGGTGGTGACCCTTGGTGACCCAAATGTCACAGCCCCTTCCAGTTCTGTCGGGCTGACAAATATCACTGTTACCCCCATTACGACGGCAGCTGGAACCCAGTTCACAAACCTCCAGCCAGTGGCTGTGGGCCATCTGACTGCACCTGAACGCCAGTTACAGCTGGACAACTCAATTCTCACCGTGACGTTTGACACCGTCAGTGGTTCCGCCATGCTGCACAACCGCCAAAATGACATTCAGATCCAGCCGCAGCCAGAGGCAGCCAATCCTCAGTCTGTGGCCCACTTTATAAACCTGACCACCTTGGTGAACTCCATTGCTCCTCTAGGGAACCAGATAACGGAACAGCATCCTCTGACATGGAGGTCAGTGCCGCAGACTGATGTCTTGCAGCCCCAGGCACAGCCAACGCAACAGCAGTCAGGACAGCAACAGGTTCAAACAGAGCAACAACAACAGATGTATAGCTACTAATTTATACGTTGAAAAGTTTTGACATGGACAGTACTTAGAGACAAGAACACAGAGACGTTTGGAAAATTTCCAATAGGATTGTTTGCTGGAGACCAAACAGATGGGAAAATGTTTATACAATGAAATGTAAGCTAAAATTGGCATAGCACCCTGCAACACCCTAACCTTGAGATTGTCACGCTGTCTCTAGACCTTGCACTGTCTTAAAAAAAAGAAAAAGGAAAAAAATTTGACCGTAAATTTAGCACCCCCTTGCACTGTGTATTTTGTGCAGTAAGATTGAGATTTGACAGGAGCATCATAATACATCTTAACCAAAGCAGGGAAATCCTAAATATTACGGCACTGGTGATTTACAAAACCCTTTCAGCCATACCATGTCACTTTTTTCCAGTCTGGAAATTACATATGAAGACCTTGTTCATGGTGAGGTGGAATGCACTTGTGGTCAGCTGGTAGAGACTGAAATGTAAAGACGCAAATGGGCAAAACAATAATCGTCTTGTTTTTTATCTTCTTTAGGTCTTGTATCTAACAACATTGGTAAAGTAGGTGGAGGTTGGGACTTTGGGGTGGGGATGAGTGCGGTGTGGAAGAAAATACACCAATTTCACACAGTATTTCCATTTTAGTCATGGGAGAAACCCTATACCCATAACACAGTGTTAGTGCTACTTGAATCAGATAGCTGGTCTAATGCTAAAGCAACTTTTATGGTCTTCTAGTCAAGTTTGAATCAAACCAGTTATGAACTGAAAAAAGAATGTGATACAGTTTTATGTAATTTTTCAAAACTGCTCTTTCAATCTTGCTTTTAGCTAATAGGCCTGAAGAGCAATCGGTCCCCTTTGATGAAGTTCAGGATGTGAATTTTTTTCAATTAGTCTTCTTTCATCGTGTAATAAACATTTGAGAAAACATTCTTTTTATATATATATACACACACACACACAGAGAGAGAGAGAGAGCGCCTTTGTACTTTACTGTGTGTTCCTGGTATTTGTGTGAAAAACACTGTTATCAATATGATACATTAATTTTTTCATCCCCGTATTGCCCTTTCTCACAGAAATAATGTATGGATTCTACTCCTTCTGTTTCCAAAACCATTTCCAAAATTCATAGCCACACAAGAGTGTGTGAAATGCAAGAAAAAAGAATGTCTGAAGCATATTCTGCCACATGGAGGCAGTATGCCCTAGTGTATAATGGGCAAGGTTTGCATGACTACTGGGGATATAAATAGTGGGTTGGGTCAAATACACAATTGCTGATACTACACTTCCATTCCATTCTCCATACATTGATGTGCAGTCTGGACTTTTGCACGTCAAGAAGATAGTATCTTTCCCACAGAGAAAAAGCAGCTGATATCAAAAAGGAATAAACTAAAAAAAAAATGTTGCTGCCTGGAATCCTGAACAGCAAATCTGTCCTTCCAGCTATGGCTGAAGAACAAGGTCCTTTGGGGCAGAAGACTGAGCCACAGAACCGTGCTGAAGGTTTTTGCTGAGGATAAAGCAGCTGCTGTGTTTGACAGTGAAGATAGATTGATGGTTGTAAAAATCCTGTCTGTGCCTATCGTATTTATGAAAATGTTCTATGTATTAGCAAAAATATGAGTAGGAGTGACTTCAGCTTTGAAAGTCTGTATTAACATGGACTACTTGTCCCCTAAAGGATGCCTTATAATCTCTACCACAAATTCTTCCAAAGTATAAATGTCTGGATATTAAAATTAACCTCTGATGGTTTTCTTGGTGCCATAGCAGTGTCCAGAGGCTCACTATGCTAGGCTCTGTGTAAAGCTTAGTTGCAACAGGACATGTGTAGGAAAGGGGTTTCTGGTGACAGATTTTGTGTGTCAGAGGAGCAGAACTACTTTTCTGTAAATGTCAACAAGCCTATAAAATGTCCACATGGGAGGGACCTATATTTGATGGGACAAAGATGTGCATCAGAAAGAGAAAATACCTTTTAGGGGTGTGGGAAAGAGAATTTTTCATTCTCTAGCCCCTTCTGTCTTCCCCAGATCCTTTTCACACAATACCATGAGATCCTGTAATTTTATTAGCCTCCCAATATCCTGGGCAGTACAGTTTTATGCTGCTCTATCACCTGGATTATTTCACCACTGGCCTGAGCCAGTTAAGTTTCTCCTCAGCTGTCCTGTCCACAAATGCTTCCCCTTCACACCAAACCCACTGGTCAAGACGAAGTTAGGTTTTATTTATTAAATATGTTGTTTATGTATTTGAAAGTACTTGAAACTTCCCCCCCCCCATGTGTGTTTGGTGCCTAATTGGCAAAAGCACGTTACCTCTTGGCAGGGTACTTTGGAGAAGGAAAAAAAAGGGAAGGAAAGCAAATGTAGAGGTCCTAGGTCAAGTTGTTATGGTAAATAAAAGATGACTAACATCTAAAAAAATCCATATATATATACACACACGCACACGGAGCGTCACAGTGCTGCATATAGAGCTTCTAGAAGATCAGGGTTTTGTTTAGACGTATGTAAATGGTGATTAAGCTTTTAAGTGGGGAAGAAGAGGTTTTTTGCCTTAGCTGCAGAGTGAGTACATCTGCTCTATGTTAATACTACTGATAGTAGCATTCATGATGCACTGAATCATCCTCAGCCATTTTAACATGTAATTGCCTATTTGGTAAGAATTGCATATGGAGGTAATCAACCGTTACAGAGACCTCTCCGACTTCACAACACCTCTTTATCCTAACACGATCCTCTGGTATTCTGCACTCTTACGCTGCTGAGCATCCCTCTCACGCTAACTGGCCTGCGTAATTCCATCCAGGCAAGTTAGCATCTTACCTTTCTGATAATGATCGATTCTAGCTGATTTAAAAAGGAATGGTCACACAATAAATGCTTGCATGTTGGTGGTCACATAGAAAAGAAATGTCTCTCTTCAGTCTCTCAGTATCTCCAAAATCACAGAATCGTAGAACGGCCCAGGTTGGAAGGGGCCTCGAAAGATCACCTGGTCCAACCTTAAAGGGAGCCTGATAAGATTATTTAGCACCCTGTCCAATCGCATCTTTAAAACCTCCAGTGACAGGGACTCTACCATGTCCCTGAGGAGGTTGTTCCAGTGGATGATTGTTCTTACTGTAAAAATTATCTTAAACAATATTCCGCTTCAGGAGGGAAAAATACAACCACTGGAAGGGCTTTGACTAGGCCAGGCAATAGAAAGTTCTCTAAAAGCTGATCTTCCCAGAGCACTCCTTTTAGAAATGATCTTGACTTTCCCTGCAACCATTGCTATGGTACCTCATCATCTTTCAGCGTGATTTTGTTATTACTACTGTTACTAACATCCCTATGAGAACACAACTGTATCTTGGGTGTGCTGCAACATGAAAAATTTCAAATCAAATTATTTTGTTTGGGTTTGTTTCAAACAAATTATTTTGCTTGGGGACGTTGGAAATTGATGCCTTTTCAGACAGAGCTTACCTTGGACAAGTAGTGACTGCCAGCTGCTCTCCCAACTAAGCCTTTTTCAGGTGAATACCAAAGTTATACCGATGCTGTTTCGAACTGCACAAGAGAGAAAACCACGTAAGGGATGTGCAATCTAAGTTTCTTTTGCCAATTTGTTACTAGCCTTTTCAGCTATAGGAGGTGACGGTTATTGTTTTCAGCCATGTGTTGGAGATTTTGCGTAACAACTGTTCAGTAACAAACTGGAATTACTTTGAGCCAAAGGAGTGATGTTGTGTAGTGTTCTGTGTATTGTCATTGTTTATTGCTAAGACTATTATTTAATTGAATGCTGTCTGTGGCACATGGGCTCTGAAGTAAAGGAGCATCAAGGTACAGAACCCTTTCTCTACCAGTGTTATTCTTTCCTGTTCCTTAATTAATGCATCAAACGTTTTTTTCTTCAAATCACATAGACTTGCTTCAAAAGCAAGCTTCAAAATCATCATCTCGTAGAACTTTGTACATCCCACAATATACAGAAACATGGGGTAGCGTTCTAAAACATTTATTCTATAGCTTGTTACTGGGTAATAACAGAAAGCAGAGGAGATGATTGAATCTTTCTTGGCTATGGTCTGTGGTGAGTTCTCTCAGGAAAACCTACTGTATCAAGTGCTATTACGCTCTCTAAAATTAAAGTTTTCTTTTTAGATGTGTCAGTATGAAAAGTGAGTATTTTTGCAGAAACCTACCAGTCAGTCTCCTATCGGTCTAACCAGCTATGTTTCTGTCCCTTTTTATTGTTCCAGAAATTGTTTGAAGTTAACAGCCAGGAAACAGTTGAATTAATTTATTTCTAGAACTGGATTTTCTGGCAGTTTGTCAGAGTGATTTGCTGGTGTTCTGCATACATAAAGATGCCTGAATTTCTCATCTTGAAAACTAGGAATGGGAAAAAAATACCATACGTCCAAATGACAATCATATAAAACCGATAGGCACTACGTGAAAGTGGACAGGGTAAATAGCTTTGTTAGTATTGCTTTGTGAATTCTTGTTCAGTAACGAGATTTCCTTGGTGCTATTTAAAGTAATAATAACGTCACCCCTTCTAATTACTTTTGGCCTTACATTTATTATTGATATAAGCATACCTGTTGGAAAATCTTTAACCGTTTGTGTTTTCGGCATGCCTTTTCACGGCGGTTGTGTGTTGGCCTCATCTGGTGTAAAGGGAGAAGGAAACATACCAGAGGAGGATATGCTGATCCACACCACGATGCACAGCAAAGCTCTGCTTGAAGTAGTCTCGGAGACAGTGTGCAGCCAAGTGACTCGCATCTGGGAGATTAGTTACCAAGGTTTGTTTTCACATAAGCGCTTTTGCCCTATAGCAAACCCACAGTGTCACGGTGGCAACAGCAGAAAGGAAAAAAGTATTTCCATCGTGTTTGTCATCAACTCATCTTAGAGGTGATTTTCCTCAGTACTGAGATGCTACTATGATATTCGCGCTGTATATGGCAAGAAACCATTACATTTTCTTAACTAAAAATGTTGGAACACTGTAAAAAGCCACAGGTACTTCACCATACAGTGTAACCACGGTTGGGAAATACGTTTCTTGCCCTAAAATGCTTTGAGAAAGCTGTTCTGGATTTATTTTCCCTCCTGGGTGCTAAAGTGCTGTTCTGCATGGGTACTGCAGCCAGCTACAAAGCGCACAGTTCAGTTCAGACTGGAATTCAGCATAGAGAGCCCCTGCAGTACAGCCTGACAGTGGCCGACACGTTGGATCGCTTTTCTAGAGAGTCCAAGCTCACTGTTGCTAAACGTAAATTCCCAACAGCTGAGCTGAAAGGGGCAGAGAGGGTATGCTTTGAGCGTGGCAGGGAAGGTGAGACTTGTCCAGGAGACTTCAGTCTCGCCCCTAGAGTCAGGATTTCATCGACGTTTGTTGTGTAATGCTATTTTCTTTCTGCCTTATCCATGAGCTGTTTGGACCAGTTACAGTGCCTGGTTAGTTGCTAACACTTTTGAAAAGCTGGTTATTAGTTGCAATGGCTGTTAGAGCAGCTGATGTCAAAAGCAATTAAAATTACTTCGTTTAGGGATTTATTTCATCTAAAGCAAAGCTTTTAAGTTCTAATGTCTTTTTGCTATCAGTTGAGTGCTTTCCTTTATTTTTCTGCTTGCTTATAGATTTGGATTCCAAAAAGTTTTTAAGGTGATCAGTAAATGTAGCAAAAATTTAAATGGCTACAAAAAAAGAAGTGTAGTAGTGGCAGAATGAGGAGTTAAAATTAGGAGAAACTAATGATACTAATTTTCTACAGATTTCTGCCCTTCTCCTACCCACGTGAGTCTGGGGTCCTTGCCGTGACACTAGCTCAAGGAAGGAGACGGGACATGTTCTGGCTCATTCGCCAGAACTACTCGTGTAGGGGTTGATGCGCTGGGTGCTGTTAATGAGAGCAGATACCAGCCGAGTTCTGCCAGCCTTCCCCTCAAGCCATGTGCCCATTTCAGTATCTCTTCCCGACACAGCTGGCTGTTTTCACAGAGCTCACAGGAATGTGAGCGTCTCTGAGACTTGTACCTCTCACCTGTAGTGAACGTCAAGAAACAGATTCAAAACTGGGGAGAGAGAGGGACCTGAGAGCTGAGGCAATGAAATACATGGGAAGTGCAGCTAAAAAAAAAAGCTGGGAGAACACATACTTAGCCTGCTGTAGCAAACGGTATGGTAAGTTGTGGTGGATGCAGTGCTGTTAACTAAATATTAGTGACTGTTGCGTTCAGGTGCTTTTTTCTATATTCTGTTACTTGTATAGGGGAAAGTGTTAGTGTGTGTTCAGTTTACCATAAATTAAATTCAAACGTAAAACACACTCGGTGTGTTATATGCAGCAACATGCAGAAACCAAAGGGTAAGATGCTCAAACGATAAGAGAATGAAGCAGGTCCACATTTCATCACTTTTGGGAAGAGCGAAAGCAAGGTTGTGGGCAGCGTTTTCTCAAGAGTGACTGTCCTTTCTCACGCACAGAATAGACCTGCTCTGTTGCATACGTGATATCGGCATGCACGGTGGACACAGGAGTGCCATCGAGGGGATGACACTGGAATAGAGAGGGGTGTTTTACAATTAAAAAACAAAACAAAAAAATCAAATCGGGTCATTAAAGGAAAGGGTGGGGAAGCTCTGACCCCAGTTCCTTGCTGCGCCAAGGCGAGGGAGATGACGCTCAATCTGTTACACTGGCTGTGTTGTAGGTAGGTAAAAAACAAGTCGTCTGCATGTGTGAGCTCCTCTTCCCTTCTCCGCACACCCATGCCCGTGCTAAGACCCTAGTCTGAGCTTTCAAAGGAGTAAATACCTTTGTCTGACTGATGTACAGATGGCGCTTGTGCCCAAGGGCCCTAGTTCTATAGAATTCAGGATTGGTTTTCAAAGTAAATATGGGTACATAGGTTGGGGGTATTTGGGCAGGAGCAGGTTCTTTTGTGTGTGTGGGGCTTCTCCGCA